GCGAGGGTCAGGGCATGCACGCAGGGATGCACAAGTGGCTGGCACAGGACAAGTACTGAGGGGCTGGGGGAGGGTGCACTAGTGGGGAAGTCTTACCCCTGCAACTTGCAACCTTCCCTGCCATCTTCCCGACTGACTTTCTAGCCATCATATGATTGCAGTGTGCTTGGCAATCAGTCATAAGTGCAATCAGGTTGTGAAACACCCAGATCACGATCATGTGACCACGGGGTGCTGAGATGGCCGGAACTCAGAGGACCAGTTCTAACAGCACCACTGTAACTTTGAACAGTCGCTGAACAAGTGGTCATAGGTCAAGGACTACCTGTAATTCCAGTCTGATGGACAAATATGCGAACAAATCAGGGGAACACTTATGGAATGGTCCATCTCAGGATTCATACCCGAGACATTCCTGTAAGATCTGGAAGCAACAATATTCTCACTCTGTGGTGGGACAGACTGGATAGGTTTCATCTTTCTGTCTGAATGTCAGAGAAAAATTAGTTGAGTTTACACTATTGGTAAAATACTGTGAGTACTTCCCAGTTCAGTTTACACCCAGCACACTCCCAGTTAAGCCCACACCCATATTTCTAATGATGTAAAGGAGGAAATAAACATTAAGTAGAAGAATGACTGTGATCAGCTGCGTCTTTTCCTGAGCAGTCTAAGTAACATTTAGCAGCCGAGAAATCCAATGGTCAGAGAAGTTTTGCTCTTTGCTCTTCTCATGCCAGTTGGCTAATGGTCCATCTAATCAGAGCTTCTTAACAGAAATACAGTCGGGATTACAAATTCCCATGATCTCAAAAGGCTTTGTTTATACGGTACATTTCCTGACCATTGCTTTAAAATTAACTCTGCCTGATGTGACTTTTGGTTCCCTTCTTAAGCATTAGGTACCTTTATATATACTGTTTTGAGCATGCAACCTTCATCTCTACATTTCCGCAAAACATTCTCTAGTTCAACCTTTTTCATGTCTATATCGATGTAAAATCTATATATATATTCACCAACAGAGAATACAGAAGGGGGAGACTTGCGATGAAGCTCTACAGTTAGCAAGGAAAGGGGATTTTTTAATATCTCTTTGTCATGTGATGTGATGTGATATGTGTGTGTGACTTTTAATACATCTATATAGATGGT